GGTATGAGCATTCGGCCAGGAAATCCGCTAGAGCTTGAGCCTTAATGGCAGCCCTCGGACGGTAAGCTGATGCTGAATTCGGTGAGCTCAAAAGCCCACTTGGCTAGCCTACCAGATTTTTCAACCTTGCCAAGAACTTTTTCCAACGGCTGATCAGTTAAGACCACTATCTGATGGCAATCAAAATAGGCCTCAGCTTCCGAGCAGCTACTACTACTGCGAAAGCAACTTTCTCGAGTAGTGGATAGCGAGTCTCAGCATCCGTCAGTGTATGACTGACGAAGTAGATCGGTTGCTGACTTTTACTCTCTTCCTTCAGCAATACTGCGCTGATAGTGGCAGGGCTAACGGCCACATATAGGTATAAAGTTTCTCCTTCAGCTGGGCTAGCCAGCGTTGGGAGTTCAGCCAGATGCTCCCGAAGCTGTTTAAAAGGCGTCTTTTTTGCTCTTCCTCCCAAACGAGCTCTTTTGTTTTCGGGAGTTTCAGGGCTTTGAAGAAAGGTAACCCCTTATCCGAAGCTCTGGAAATGAACCTCGAGAGGGCTGCCATTCTTCCGGTGAGCCGCTGAACATCCCGCTTCGTTTCGCTCAGGAAGGTCGAGTGCCGCTTTGACTTTAGAAGGATTGACATCAATCCCCCTTTTGCTGACCATGAACCCAAGGAATTTCCCTGACTTCACGCCGAAGACACACTTCTTCGGATTCAGCTTCATTTGATGCTTTCTCAAGGTGGCGAAAGTTTCAGCCAGGTCCTTTACATGGTCCTCTAGTTTTTTTGCTTTGACGATCAAATCATCAACATAGACTTCCATGTTTCGGCCCTTTTGATCGGCGAAAACTTGAATCCACCAGCCTTTGATAGGTTGCCCCCGCATTTTTCAATCCGAAGGGCATCATTTTGTAATTGTACACCCCAGCGTTCGTGACGAATGCTGTCTTTGCTCGATCGTCGGGGTGCATAAAGATCTGATGATACCCCGAGAATGCGTCCATGAAACTAAGCAAGGCATGGCCACTTGTCGAATTCGACTAGCTGATCGATCCTCGGCAAGGGATAGAAATCCTTTGGACAAGCCTTATTTAGGTCCGTGAAGTCAACGCACATCCTCGAGGTACCATTGGGCTTCTGAACCATCACCACATTTGCCAGCCATTCTGGATATTGGCAAGGTTCGATGAATCCTGCCTCCAATAATTTTTTGACCTCGGTTGCGATGTCTCGGTTCTTATTGGCGGAGTAATTCCGCTTCTTTTGCTTAACTGGTCGACACGTCGGGTCAACATTAAGCTTATGGGAGATGAGGTCTGAACTTATCCCGGGCATATCAGCTGCCGAGAAAGCAAACACATCTCTGTTGTCCCGAAGGAGCTGAATAAGTTTCACAACGGGTGTTTCGGATCAAGGTCCATCCCGATTGTTACACATTTCTCACCGTCTCCTTCGGCCAACTCAACTGTTTCAGTCTGTTGGTCCATGTCCATTGCCGATGGACTGGACTCTTCAGAATCTGGCCTGCTGCCAATGTCAGCAGGTGTCCCAGTCTTTTTGTTCTTCGGCTGGCTCTCTGAGTCTTGCGGCTCAGCTGAAGAGCTAGCCTTTTCCCTTTCGGGCCCTTTTTCTCTGCGCACAGATCCTTGGGCCGAAGCACTTAGGCCTTTTGGCTTTTTTGTGCTTGGCTCTCTTTCTTTTTCTTTCTCCTCCTCATCCTTGTCGTCATCTGGGCGACTACTGGATGGCTTGAGGTAGTTGCACCTTCGGGCATCCTTTTGGTTGCCCTGTATCCTTTCGGGGAAGCCGGCGTCTGAGACGTAAATCATCAGCTGATGATAAGTTGAGACGACCCCTTGGATCTCGTGAATTATGGGTCTCCCCAAAATCACGTTGTACACTGAAGGAGTGTCGATGACCAAAAATTCAATCATGACGTTCCGGGCTGCCTCATCGCAACCGATGGTGACAGGAAGTGTCACCTTCCCATCTGGATAAGTTGAAGCCCCATTGAACCCGGATACCGGGTAGGGTACCGGCGTAAGGTGCTTGGGCTTCAGCTTAATTTGATTGTAGGCCTTTCGGAACAGAATGTTTGCTCCACTGCCACCGTCAACAAGGACCTTACTGACGTCGTGGTTGGCCACCGTGGCGATGATCACCAACGGATCCTCGTGAGGGAACGTAATCCCCCGGCAGTCGGCGGCTGTGAACGTCATGTTCGGCACCGGCGACTGGGGAGATTGAATGTCAGCGTTGTTCACTCTGGTGAGTCAAAGCTCTAAGGTGGCGCTTATGCTCCCTCCGAGAGTATATTCCTCCCGAGATAACATTGATCGGAGGGAATTTCCCCTCCGGCTTTTTACTGTTTTTCCGGGGGAAGTCGAGGTCCTGCCGAGAGTCCTTTGCTGACCTCTCGGATTCTTTTTTCTCGCGGTGATCCGCGATGTATTTTTTCAAGTATCCCTTCTGGACCATGTCCTCTATCTGGTCCTTCAGTTGGATACACTCCTTAGTGTTATGTCCCGAAGACTCGTGGAACTCGCACCACTGATTTTTATTTTTTCGCTGATACCACTCTGGGAGTGGTCTCGGCTTTCGGTAACTCTGCTCCTCCTTCGTCACGCTGTAAATTTTGGCGCGTGGAAGAGAGAGCGGAGTGTAGGACTCGTATCTGCCTGTGTATGAGGCAGATCTTTCCTTCTTTGGGTCGATGGCCAAAGATTGCTCCGGGGCCTTTGACTTTCCCTTTGCCTTATGGCCTTGGCCTTCAGACAAGGGTATTTGTCTCTGTTTCCCTCCCCCGAATTGAGGTTGGGTTTTCGCTTTGTTCCATTCTTCGGCTCGGATGAACTTATCCGAAGCATTAAGAGCTTCCTCCAAGGTCTGCGGGGTATGCATGACCATGAAGTCTAGGAACTTTCCGGGCTGAAGGCCATTCTGCATTGCGAAAACGGCTAGCCCCTGGTCCAGCTGGGAGACGCTTGATGACTCGTTACTGAAACGGGTCAGGTAGTCTCGGAGGCTTTCGGTTTCCCCCTGTTGCAGACTCATGAGCTCTGCGGTAGTCTTCTCTCGGCGGTTTGCCGTGGAAAACTTGCTCCTGAACTTGGAGGACAGATCATCCCACCCTGTTATGGAGCCTTGCCTTACTCCCTTGGAGATCCACGCTTGCGCGACCCCCTTGAGAGTGGTTGGGAAATATTTGCACCAAGTCGCCTCGGATCTGGGGCAAAGATGCATATGAGTCTCATACGAGGCCACGTGATCCTTCGGATCCGTGGTCCCGTCATATGTGATGTGCGACGGTATTTTAACCGTGGGTACGCGCTCTTCCAGTATCCATTGCTCGAATGGTGAACTGGCGGGTAGCATAACGGCCTTGCCCTTGTTCCTGGCCGAAGGGACCGCGCTCCGCCCTCTTAGAGAGGTAGGAGTGGTTTTTCGTCCCTGGCTGGGAAGTCTGGGCCTCGGCTGCAGGGAACGAGAGGCGACTGTGCACGCTCGGTTCCTTGCCGCCGAGTCGGTCAAGGACACTTCTGCGAACAGTCTCAGGTTCTCGGTGAGTAGATTCTGGCCGAGAAGCTGAGCTGCTGCTCTTTATGCGCTTCTGGTCTTGAGGATGAGGATCCTTTTAAAAATTGAGGGTTCGTTTTCCTCTGTTTTTCATTTTTCCAGGAATCCTCCTCCCACTCTTCCAGTTCCCGGAAGGAAGGAAGCTTCCCACCATCATGGTCTAACTTCCTCCGCTGATGCCGGGTATGCGGAGGAGTTCGATCACGAGGTGGTGGCATATTTTGTGCCCTCATCGCCTCCATGAGTACTGCCAGCGCTCTTGCCACCTCTTCCGAGCTGGGCCCCGTCAAAGGGGTCCTCGCCGAGTGTGGGAATGAGGGCGCGCAGCCGATGGTTGGCTTTGGGACACTGAATGTGTCCTATGATCGGACTCACCCCTGCTAGACCGAGAGTGACTCGGCCTATAATGAGAGTCATGAATTACGGGAGATAGGGAATCCTCCTTGTATGGTCCTCCCCCCGAGCCGGCACCCTTGGGAGAGTTCCGGTCCGGCGAGGGTGATGGTGTAGGGGTTTTAGGCTTTTCGCCCGCTCCTTGATGGAGGCTTTTGCTCTTGCGGTTCTTAGCCATTGCTGCTAAGATAATTGCAAGATGATCTTGGTTAGGAATTTGGCTTAAAGATTTTTGAAAGTCTTCCCCACAGACGGCGCCAAATTGTTTCGGGTGAAAACAATGGGACCTTGCCGAAGGTCCGCTGAAACGGAGAAGGCTGGATTCGGTCCAAGTTATGTTGGGCCGAAGGTTTCCTGCACAGTAAACACACGTAAACTAGCCTCGGGGGTGTTGCCGAGGAAGGCCCCTCCGATGCTAAAGTCAGTACAATATGTAAGAAGAGGACACTATGCAAGAGAGTTTGTTGCTTGAGGCTTTAATGGAATATATCAGAATATATCAATGAACATATGAATGAACATATGAATGAACCTATGAATGAACATATGAATGTATCAATATTGATGGCTTTTATACCTCATCATACATGGAGAGGTTGGGCCTTAGCCCAATTGGCTTGCTTTGTGGGCTGACCTTTGACTTTAGCACAATTGGAGAGTTGAACCTTGACCTTGGGCTTTTAATTGGATCATTTAATATCTAGGTCCAATTGGACTAAATTGGACCCAAACACCACCTTAATAGCTTGCTTAAATAGAAAATCAAAATGAATTTCATAATTGGTAATGTATTCCCTTTGTCCCCATTTGTTTGTCATATTGGACTTATTATAGTATTCAGTACGGAGTAGCTTTTAAAATAAATATCTCCAATTTTGTACTTGCTATAATTTTTAAAATTATGATATTCTTAAAGTAGTCATTGTAACAAATTTAACAAGATTTCACTTGACTACTCGGTTTTGATCTAATAGTACTAATCTAATACGGAGTATATTGTTAATTTGCTATTGACAAATCTCAGACCCTACGGTACTGCAATTCTTAATCGCAAAGAATCAGTAGCTAATTACAAATAATCTAGTTGATTATTGTCTCTGTTAGACTTTAGATGATCAACAATGTGTTACAACCTTTAAACTTGATAACGAGTTATGATTAGGCTGTTGAATTTACGTGTATAGTTGCATTGCGCAGGCTAAAGATGTTACCAAAAAAGATAGCTTATGTGTATATCCAAGCAGTCCATCATCTGCTCTTGGCATAGTTGCTGCATTATTTATACTAGCTGAGCAAATCGTTATTAGTGCTGCTACTTACTGCTTTTGCTGCTGTGGACTACGTTGTTCTGCTCGTTGCACTGTTATAAGCTCATTACTCTTCTTCATCGGCTCCTGGTATGTTATAACTTATAAGCTCATTACAAGGCCAGTTTATTTGTCAATGCATAGTTATGAGGGATTGTGTCGTGACAACTAATTCTGGATGAAGGGATTGTAAGCTTAACTTAATCATGGTCCGTTGTGCACAAGATTTTTACACTTATTTTGGTATGTATTGCAGGTTCACTTTTCTGGTAACGTTCATTGGATTGATATATACAGCGATCCTTGACAACACCAGTTTCCTAGCAAAAACCTATACCAGAGGAAACAGTGACAGTTGTGGAGTGGGCAATGAGAATTTGTTCCTTGGGGCTGCATATTGGTGCATAATTAGCACCGTTGTAGGTCTGGTATCATATGCTTTCTGGGCGTGTGGTGCTGCTAAAACAAACAATAATAACCAAGGCCGCGCTTTTGATCATGAGCATGGTGTTGCTATGGGAGAACCTCAGATGCAGCAACCGAAGGAATAACTTAGATAATTAATGTGATGCTGGCTGAGTGGTTGGTATCCTGTATAGCTCAAGATCAATCCAAGGGTAGTAAAATTGTTGTAAGCTGTAAAGATCATTTCATCTTTTATCCTATTTGTAGTTTAGCAAATGTTATATCAAATAGAATGTTGAACAAATCTCTTACAGTCTTTACTTATCAAATGACATACAACATTTTTTTTCCTACATATCTCGAATTCTAAGAATTGTGAACAGCTAACTGCTAACAACTCGAATTCTAAGCATTGTCGAACAGCTAACTGCTAACAATTGACTGCTTATTGACGAATAAAGTTTGTGTATATATTCGAATAAAGCATAAATAAATTCTTCATCAAATAATTTTTTTTTCTCCAAATTCCAATTGCAACAAGGTTTAGCCTTACACTGACTATACCTTTTACGGAGTATTTTTTATATATGAGAAACATCTATTAAATCATGTTTAAAACTTATCTTTTTACACTTTTGACCAACTTTAACTTTACTAGCCATCTAAATTTGATTGATCACATTTTCTTCTTTTTTGTCCGTGTTAACTACTCGTATATAATTAGGAAAGTTTTAAGTTCTAACCATTTGAGCTATCATTCACTCTTTACAAGTATAACTTAAAACTTTAAATTAAAATAATAACTCTTGTAATGATGCGTAGTTGGCCATCATATAAAGTAAACCGTGTTAAAGAATTTGCTTTAATTCCAAAGAAAAAAAATGCTTTGAGGCCCAAAATAAATACTAGTAGTGGATCATTTCATAAATGCAAGCGGGCCCATTTTAAAACAAGTTGATTAGCGTTTCAACGAACATACAAACCGCGTAATACAAGTCTGCTTCCTTCTCCCACTACGCACAATAATTGGTATACACTAGACCCTAGTGTAGGTAGGGATACCTACACCCCCCTCTAAACGATGCGTTTATCATGTTACCCACATCCCATAACCCACTAACCTACTGTAACTACCCACCATTCTCTCTAAAACCTTCTTCTTCATTTCTCTAGACTTTCTCTCTCATCAAAACCAGAAAATATGAACCAAAATTGCTTCAAAATACTACAAAATTGCTTCAAAATACTACGAAATTGCTTCAAAATATTGCTAAATTCCTTCAAATGTCTACATTTGCGAAGAAATTCAACAATCGCAACAACATTCACAGAAAGAGTAAGTAATTTTACTAAATTTTTTTGTATGAACCTATTTTTTCTACTACGTATTTCATTTTGAAATTACATGTTCAGAAACATAATCTAACTTGATTAGAACTATTTTATGCAAAAATCATTAAAATCTACTATGTTTTGTGTTTTTATTTTTATTTTTTACAGAACCGAAAAATATATTTCGAATTAGAGAGATAAAGAGAATGATGATTCAGAGAAGAATCATGTTCGTTGAACATAACAAGGCATAGTCTGAAGAAACGTAAGTATTATTTCAAAAACCTATTTAAACAAGAGTAGAAATTTTTTTTAAAAAAAAAAACAACGAACAAAAGTCTCAAGTTGTAGATCTAGAACTTTTAAAAGATATTAAAAAGTCTTATGGTATAGATGTTAACATTTCTACGATTCCGAGTTAATATATGAACATATATAGAATTATAAATGTTCATTTGTATATTTGAATTTATTTGAGTTTATATTTGACTTTATATGCCTAAATAAATAATGTTCATTTTTATGATATGTTATGCACATTTATGAAATGCATAAATAATCATTCATTTGAGTTGAGAAACTGACTTATTTATTCTATCAAATCTTTTGATCATTTATGAAATTCATAATGTTCATTTACATATAAAGTAATGTTCATTTTAAAATATATGTTAATATTGGTTCATTTCAGTTTACATATATATTTATATGCCTAAATAACGAATGTTCATTTCTTTTATACATTATCCTCATGTATAATATTGATAATGTTCATTTGTATGCATTAAAACTAATATCTTACAACCAATCTAGCTATATTGTAGTGATGTCCAAAGTTACACATTTGATATAAATTTGCACATGGAATTGAAGAATACGTAGTTGTTTTGGAGAAGATAAAATGGCTTAACAACGCTGATTATACAAACTGCGGAGTATAAATTATGAAGCATATAGAAACATTCACTACTAAACTTAATGAGAGTTAGATTTGTGATTTGAAACCAAATAGTGTAAAAGTGATAAATGTTTAATAATGTAAGATATATTGTTCATTTATAAAGTAGTGTATATAATAATTAACATTTGTTAATTCATTTTGTTCAACAGGTGAACCAAATTAGGAAGCAAGGATGCGGAACTGATGCTATTTGAAGAAAAACACTAAATATAGGTTAAATCGAAGATAAGCAAGGAAGTTTGCAAATGAATAGTACATGTTATATGTTCATTTATGAAAGTGTATATGTTCATTAATGAATGTGTATATGATCATATCTTAAACTTCCTCCATTTCTTTTTACTTGCAACACAGCCTTGTGGCACGTGTTTTGAGGTCGGGTTTATATAATGTAAACGGATAAATTATTCATTATAATTTTTACAAATGATACTTAACCCTATTCTAATCTCCGTGTAAAAATTATATTGATAAAATAGCTCGTTTACCCTCACTAATCATCTCCTAAAATTGCGTGCCTAAAAGGTGTGTTGCAAGTAAAAGAAAACGGAGGAAGTATATAGTTTTATAGATGATTTTTTTTGGAGGAAAATAGACTTATAGATATTATTTGTTAAAAAAATTATTGTAATTGATATTTCATTTTAATCTTTATTTGTATGAAAAAATATATATAATTTTTAGGTTTTATGAATTGGTTGTTGGTTCTTTACTTTTGTTCATTTTCAAATTGATAAATAATCATTTACATATGTTGAATTTTAAAAAAACAATATACTAAAAAAGGTACTATATAGAAACAAATTCTTATGTCTTTAACACTTGAAGAACTTTGAACAAGAGCACCTTGATCATTTATTGGAACCGTGGGAGGAATAACTTAAACATTTGTCGATTGAACATTTCTGGAATGGGGTTTAAACATTTCTAGATTGAAGGTTGAACAATCCTGAGTTGAAGTTGGAACAATGCCAAGAACTACGGGTGGAACAAAATATCTAGTTTGAGATTTTGTAGACGCATTAGTACTCTTGGATTAACTTGAGCATCATTTTTAACACCAGCACCACCTTTATTTATAGGAACATTACATTGAGCTTGAGCAGCAGAAACACCAGCAACACTTTTATTTATAGGAATATTTAAATCCTTCGACTGCAAAACAAATTAAATGATCATATTAAAATATATAAATGTTCAATTACAAACACTTAAATAAACAGATAAGAAAAACAAAACTTTAGCAAGATATGAAATATCAGCTTTTTTTCCCACTGCACAAAGTTTTAATATACAATTATAAATGAACATAACAAGTTTCAAAAAATGATCATATTAAATCCTTTAAACACTAAATCCTTCGCCTTCAAATAAAAGTTAAATGATCATATTAAAATATATAAATGTTCAATTTCAAACACTTAAATAAACAGATAAGATCAAAACCTTAGCAAGATATGAAATATCAGTTTTTTTTCTCATTGCACAAAGTTTTAATGTACAATTATAAATGAACATAACATGTTTCAAAAATGAACAATAATTAACAAATACAATGTTCAATAGCAAAATTGCACATGATCAATATGGAAAATTTTGACACATAATATTATCAAGAAAAAATGGTAAAAACAAATAATCATATATGACATAAAAAAATTAAGAAGTACAAATGATAACACATAATTGATTAATTTTAAATATAAAAATGATCCAAAAAAAAAAAAAAGCATAAAAACAAAATCACGCAATTTTCAAACATAGAGCAATGAAATAAATTGAAGCAGCGAAATATTCATAACAAAGTATGAACAATCCAAAAACGCTCATCATAATCATAATCAAATTTTGAAAATTGAAGCAACGAAAAGAATAATAATACATAAATTAAGTTGAAATAAACAGAGCATTATAACACAACAATGTATTGATGATAAAAATTACAAAATTATGATTGTAATTACTCACATTGTTGATGAACAAACGAATCAATCAATCGAACTCTAGAAGACGGAAACACACTTTCGTAATCACGATCGAAATTAGCAGAGGAAGAATCAGCCATTGATGATCAACAACAATTATCAAAATCGTAGGAAAAATAAACGGCAAAATTAGTATAAAATCAAATGAAGAAGATGAATTAACTAGAGAGAATGTAGGTAGAAAAATGGAAATTGATCAATTGAGGAGAGAGAAAATATTGGGTTTAAAATCATTTATATACATAGCTTGAATAATAAGAAACAAGGAATTAAAAAAATAAATAAAAAAAAGGAAAGAATTGAAGCATGAATTAGCTCGTGAGTACTCCCCGCAAGCTACAAAACGGCGTAGCATCAGGGGGTGTAGGTAGACCATCCTACACTAGGATGTAGGGTATAATTTTCATACGCACAAATGCTTTGTATTGTATGGTTGGGAAGATTAATTGTAGCCAGCCCAATCCTACGTGGCACCACCGCATCACTTTGTTTCATGTTTGCTTGATTAAGGGCATGTTCTCATTGACTGAATTCAGCTGAACTGAATTGAACTGGATTGAAATGAATATTTTATAAGAGAAGAAAATTAGGAGCTAAACTGGACTGAACTGAACTGAATTTCAACGTATGAGAACAGGCCCTAAGTCAAATTTCACTTTAGTGTGATTGCTCATTTGCTCATATGTTTTATGTTGTCGTGTTTTTTGAAAAAAAAAAATTAGGCCAGTATAAGGCCTTATACGTATAGTAATGTATTGTTTCGTGTCGTATCGTGTCTATCATAGTATCATATGTGTCACATGCTATATTTTTTTTGTTATCTAATTTGATGTGCTAAATGTGTACATAGATCCTCCTTTTTGGTTGAAGTAAGATTAGTTCAATGCAACTTTAGTTACTCAATTATGAGCAACATATATACGCAAAGTTAATGGAGAATCGAATTAGGTAAACATTGAGGTCCAACATTACATAAACTATTAGATGATTTTATAAAAGTTAATTATTTTTTATAGCCAAATAGCCCAAATTGGCACAAGCATTGATTAGCATGATATTATAATTTACTTTACCCGCCACTGGAGTTCTATAAATAGCAATTAACTCAAACTTATTTGTGTAATTACTCACAAATAATCAACTACATTTTTTATTCCCGTCAAAAAAAAAAAAAAAAAAAAAAAACTACATTTTTTATTAGATAATTCTAGAAAGACACAGATAGGATTAAAATGGCAGGTCAATTTAGTTATTGGGTGCCTTTAAAAGCCCTTATTCATGGTATTTTAGCAATTGCTCTCAGCTTTGCTGCTTATTCCAAAAGGATTACGGTAATAAATTTTTATTTTAGGGTTTTTTTCGTAAGCTTTAATATTAAATACATGTATTTCAATATATCTGCATTATTTTGACTTATCACACTTGTCAAATCACAATGTAGTTATTAGAAAATTAACATAGTGAGCTTCAAATTATACATTAGGGACATTCTGATGTAAGGTAACCCATAATACATCTTATGTTGGTAGTACTAAAATATTTTTTCGGATATTAAAAAAAAAAAAGGAAAAAATATGTTCAAACTGAGTAATTGTACAAATGTACAATAGTACATTCTTTATATGTTAATGCTGCGTAGATAAAATGAGACAATGACTATTCAATTATTGTTTATTTCCTAAGAATTTTAGCTTCTTAATTCTACTAACTATACTACAAGAGTATAAAAGTTAAATTAACAACTCAAGCAACTTTTCTATTTTTGTGGAAATTCTAATTTCACGTGTTTTTGTCAACCAGACAACCAAATATTGCAATGGCAAGTTATGGTACAAGTGTATAACTCTTTAAATAATATATACACGATGGGTTTCATGTGTACTTGTACATGTTTATTTGTACTATACTGTCAATCAAACGACCACTTAAACTCACTCGCTCGTTTGTTCTTTTGAGCAGAGTGAGGAGGTTACGGACTTTAACGGAGTTTGCGAGTATCCAAGCAGTTCAGCGTGGTATCTAGCTTTGATAGCTGCAATAGCTCTTCTGGCTGAACAAATTACTTTAAGTGTTGGCATGGGATGCTTTTGCTGTCGTGGAGCACGTTGTTCATCAAATTGCACTGCTATTATCTCAATATTTTTCTTCATTTTTTCCTGGTATATATATACAGTATGTAACAATAATATCATCAATTAATTAATAATTGTGTATTAATTATGAACTTAACTTTTTTTTTTTTTTTTTTTTTTGCGGTAAATGCATGCAGGTTAGCATTTTCTATAGTATTCATAGGACTAATGTACACAGCAGCCGTCAACAACCACAAATTTCTTGTAAAACATCATTCTTTACGCGCTAATGGTGGAAGTTGCTTCATTGGTATGAAGCAAATGAACCTAGGTGCTGCATCTTGGTGCCTCATTAAAACTGTTTTTGGTCTAATCTCTTATGCTTTTTGGGCATGTGGTAAAGACCGCGATAATAACAAGAATTGTTAAGCTGATATAGTAATTCTGCTAATTAATTAAGGACTATGTAAGGTGTTACTATGTATAGTATAACAATGTTGATGAGATGATGTACGTAATTGTTGTATGGTAAAATTGTATGCAAATCATCGTTTTAGAATTTTAATCTAAATTGTCGTTGGAAGTTTGTTGTGATCATAAAGATTGTAATTAGTTTATCTATTTGTTTGATTATTTGTTATATTGTGTAATATAGTTGTGTAAATGTATTCATTTGATTATAAAAATTGGTCTACGTTAATGTAATAAAGTCCTACAACATGTAGCAATGCGCCAATGCTCATATAATGAAAGTCGATACAATATTCATTTTCCCTAAGTTAAAGTTGCAATCGAAAATTGCAATTAGATTTTGTTAGATTCCGGAATGAGCACCAATATAAATACTAGTACAAGTTTTTTAGAATTTATAATGAGGAGTGCCTATAAAAACCTGTTTAAGTCCTATTAACAAACTTTTTCGATAAATCTATACGAATTAATTATGCTTTTGAAATTCAACCAAAATATGTAATCCGTGTCTCTCTCCAACACCTTCCGATTTCTTTTTCATGATCTCTCTGCGCTTCCCTAGCCGCCACAACAAGTATGCCATCCATCCTCACCCAATAATGGCCATATGACTCGCTCATCACATAGCCAGTCCATGACCTCCTTTTTGCCTACATCTTTACCAATAAAATGTTCCTTTACCCTATAAAGTAAAAGTATGTTGTGAAAGTAAAGATAACATGGATCAAATCCAATCTAACCTGAACCCTAGTTATTTTGTGTGACTTCAAATCAAATTTTATAATCAAATTTTATCAAGACCATGTCCATTGAGTTTGATTTGAAATATTCAAACACTTAACTAGATCATTCAGTGGGCAGGGTATAGTGGGTCTAGGGTAAAATGGGTCTCAAATGAATCATAAAAACTATTACTTAAGGTGGTGTGTTAGTTAAAAATGTATGACGACCTTAAGTAATTACTACCTTTGATTTTTTTTTTTAGTCGCAACTTTGGAGTATTATTTGTGAGATATAAAATATTCTAAAGTTATAACTAATAAAAATCGATTGAAGGTAGTAATTGATTTAAGAGTAAGATGGTGTGTTAAAAGCAATGCTCCAAATTTATTAATTAGTGATGACTAGCTCCTTAATTTTAAGAATTTTTTTTGAATTCAAGTTAGACCTTCTTTTTAATACTTATTTCCAAAATAACAAGTACTTTCTCCAATTCATAATGATCTTCAATCACATTTCAGCAAAAATTATAAACATTGAATATTAAATTACTCTATAATAAGACAAAAACTAACGAACACCCTCGGACGTTAGATTAAAGAAATAAAATAATACAATATTAAGTTAAATTAACATTAATTAAACAAATTATGTGTGTTTTGTCAAGCATTTCAAACTTAATATTATTTTAATACCCTTAAACAGTCGACTCAATAGATAGGAGTATTAATTTTATATTGAAACCTTACTCTATACATACACTGTGTTAGTGGACGACTTTTCTCCCTTATGCCTCCTCCATCAATTATTGCAATAGCAAACATTTTTTTTTTTTTTTTTGAGTTTGCCCACCTGGTTCACCAGTACTCAGCTTTAAGCCTGCAATTACATCCAGATCCGACTCGCGTTGCACACCTTAGCTTATGGTGGATGAGTCTCCCAACAAGAGTTTTCAGTATTCGTGAGGCTTGAATTCGAGACCTTACCACTTGAGCCAACTCTTATTGGTGTAGCAAACGTATTTAGAATTTTAGATAAACCATAAATCATTAACCCTACTCAGTAGTCAGTACTACTCAATAGAGAATGCTTCAAAATGTACACACGTATAAATAGCACGACACGCAAAGCCTATAAAAACAAATAATTTTATGCATTGGATAAGGTCCAACACTCCAACGTTACATTTCCTATTTTAAGGAGTAATTTATTAATTTATTTTTTATAAACTTTTTTCTAGCCAAGTTGACACATGCATTGAGTAAATACAAAGTATTACTTAATTAATAATAATAAATTAATAATGTCGAGTCTTGAATTCAATTTTGTCGTCTAATAATAACGTGTCGGCTGGTCTTAGGAGTCTTCCTAAAATAGATTATTGCTATCTAATTAAGCTAGCTACTCATAATATAAATATCCTTTAACTCATTTCTCTATCCAATTCAATTGCAAACTATCTTATCACAAACATTTCGCAAAATCAAATTCTAAAGAGAGAAATTAAAATTGAAAATAGTTCAAAAATGTCACAAGAATACACTTATTGGGTACCTTTAAAAGCCCTTCTTCATGGTATACTCGCTATTGTGTTCAGTTTTACTGCTTACACCAAACGAGTCAAGGTAATTTTCAATCTTGTGTTTTTGTCAACCAAACAATATATTTTCTAAATTTTAATTTCAATGATATATAGTTTTACTTCGTGTTTGTGTATGCAGTACATGTCAATCAAACAAGCACTTAAATTAACTGGTTTCGTTGTTTTTGTAAGCAGAGTTATGAAGTGACCAGCTTTAATGGGTATTGCGCGTATCCAAGCAGTTCAGCTTTGTATTATGGTATAGTTGCTGCACTTGTTCTTCTGTTTGAGCAACTTACTATTACTTTCGGCATCAGATGCTTTTGCTGTCGACGTCGTGGAGTTCATTTTAACAGAAAATTTGCTGCTATTTTGGCAATGATATTCTTCATTCTTTCCTGGTATGTTACATTTCATTTATGCTTTAATATATAATAATCACATCGCTCATTGTATAGGTAGCTTAAATATTCTAAAAATGTGACAGCTAAATTTAAATGGCCTGAAATTATACATTACGGAGTACTACATTAGCAATTTTATGCGTATATTAAGGTGGTTATTAGAACCCAAAGGCTACACATACAATTGTTGTATGTGGTCCCTACATATAACCACAATTTGTTATGTTTTTATTGGCTAAAATTATGGGTCCAAGTTCCATTTAAATTCAATTTATATTTGACTCCTACTTTTCTTCCTTTTTTATGATGTGTCAAATTTCTAAGGACCGCATACAATGATTGTATGTGTATCAACTCCCGTTATTAGAATAGTCTTGTAGATTTTTAAAATATAAATTTTTTATCGATGTTATGAATGCAGGTGCGCATTTGTTATATCATTTATCGGATTGATATACACCGCGGTAGTCAACAGCCACAAATTTCTAGTAAAACATCACTCTCTAAACAATGGAGGCAGTTGCTTTATTGGCCAAGAGAATTTGTTCCTAGGGGCAGCAATTTGGTGCATAATTACCACAGTTTTAGGCCTAATCACTTACGGTTTTTGGGCGTGTAGTACTCATACAAAAAACACAACTAGTGAGCAAGCTAATTATGCACAAAGTGGTGTTGCAATGGGACAACCTCATGCACAATTACCAAAAGAACAATGTTGATTATATCAATGTTAGATAAAATTATTTGGTTGTTATGTTGTTGGTTGTATAAACCAAAAATTGATGGAATTGCAAGAAAAAAATAAAATAAAGTGTGCAATTCCTATGATTAGAAGGGTTTTTTTTAGAGTTTTTATGTAATTTTGAAAATTCTTTTATTTTATTTTGTTTAATTACATGCACGTGTGTATTGATATTTATTTGAATTCAAGAAGTTTATTGAAACGAATGAAGTATTATGTTGATTTGTATATATCAATGATCATAGTTGTATACACTGTGTATGTTTATGTAGTACGTGTATAAATCGTATAGTGGGTGTGATGTAAGTAGCCAAATGATTAAATTACCTAATAGGCTAATAGCAGCTAGCAAGTAATTAGGTGTTCTACTCTATGATTACACGCATTATAATAGTATAAATAAAGTTTAAGATTATTCTTATTGTTAAAGCATGTTCTAATCCAAGGACCAGCAACGCACTAGTCCAACAGTTCACAATATATAGCATATTACCATATTGCCCCTAGGTCTTCAACACTTCACAAGTCACAACTGCTGACCACCATCATCATCATCATGCAATTATCGCCGCCATCACTACCACACTCGCCAGAGCAATTAATTCTACAATCAATTGGTATTGTTATGGAGAATATGAAACTTAAATTAAAGGGAAAGAAAAGACAATAAGAGTCTGTTTTCATTGACTGAACTGAACTGAACTGAACTGAGCTGAGCTGAGCTGAACTGAGTTAAACTGAACTGAAAATAAACGAATGAGAACAGACCCTAAATAAACAATTATTACACTGATTTACTCGTAAATTGTCGATAAATTCCCAACTTAATATTAAAAAATGAAGTATATTAAATGCTTATATGCAGTCCTTAAGGTTACATATAGCATTACCCATTATAAATTACTTATACAAAAACAATAGCAAATAGGGGAAAAAATTAAATAATTAGTAGTAATATAAAAAAATAAAAATAAAAACCTAATACTAGTTCAGTTTAGAGAATGATGTTACTTTTCCCCAAACATCTTACAAAATACATCGTACACTATATCTGACTATTATTTCGGACAAAGATGGTAGTATATATGGACATTTGGGATGTGCAACATGCGTTTACGATGAATAACATTATGCATGCATTATCATTTAACAAGTTAACCTAAACTACTACTTCCTCCGTTCTATTAATATGGGACTTTTTGCACTATTCATCATTCTCGTTTGATCATATAATATGAGTTATACGTTAAGCAAAATATAGTCAAGTGGGATCTTGTTGGATTCGTCTTATATAAAACTTTCACAATATCAACTTTTTATAATTTTTACTCTTACCCAATTATAGATATTTAGCATATAAAATGTGTTTTGGGATGCGTAATTTCCTCCTTGTTGCAATATTAACAGAACGGATGAAGTATAAATTAGAACTGTCAAAAGTTGACCCAACCCGAAATACCAACTCAAACCCGATTATTAACCGACTCATTTGAACCCGAAAAATTAGTGACCCAAACCTGAATGGACCTGACCTGAAACCAACCCTAGACCCGAGTTGACCCGAGTATGTGAGACATGAACCCGAACATGAACTGGCCTGGAGATAACCCGAGCCGAATGTAACCCGTAAATTATTGACCTGAACCGAACCTAACTTGAACCGAAATTGATTCAAACCCGTTTTAACCTACCAAAACGCGAATTTAACCCGACTTGTTACTAACCTGACCTGAATTTAACCCGACCCGTTCATAACCCGACCTGAATTTAACCCAACGTGTTACAAAACCGACCCAAAATCAACCCGATTTGTTATTGACCTTACCCAAATTCAACCCGACTTGTTATTGACCTGACCCGAATTTTACCAAACCTATTACTAACCCGACCCAAAAATTCAACCCGATCTGTTACTAATTCGACTAGAAATTAACACGACTTGTTATTGACCTGACCTAAATTCAACCCAAATTGTTCCTGACCCGATTTCAAATCACCTTAGATGCAAGTTAGACCACCTTCTTATTGTTGATCAAAGCATTTGTCTAGGGAGACCAAGTCAATCCAGGCCAGCAAAAGAAATTAAAGGAGCATCATCAGCTCAAATTTAAGTGTTAAATATAGTATACATTTGTTGTATGATCAAATGAGATAATTATTTTTCTAAATTATAGACTATAGTTCCCTAGTATATTGTCATATATATTATATATAGTCAAAGGAAATAATTAGCTTGATAAAAATGATAATTATCTATTTATAGTTATATTAGTTGAACCCGAATATGACCTCACTTGGAAATGACACGACCTGATTGCAAATTATGGACTTGTACATAACGACTTGAATCCGAGAATGACCCGACTTGAAAATGACCCAACCTGATTATAACCCGCAAATTGTTGACTTGAACCAAACCTGACTTGAACCCGAGAATGACCCAACTTAAAATGACCCGGCCTGATTATAACCCGCAAATTTTTTACTTGAACCGAACCCGACTCAAACCCGAAAATAACCCGACTTGATTATAATCCGCAAATTATTTACTTGAACCGAACCCGACTCGAACCCAAGAATTACCCTAAACCGTTTTAACCCATGAAAACCCGAATTTAACCAGACATATTGTTCACCCGACCTGAATGTAACCCGACCTGTTACTAACCCGACCCAAACCCGATAAGAAGTATTACCTGACTAAAGCATGACCCAACCCAAACCTGACCCGCACAGGTTATGGAATTAATCCGAATTGACCCGACCCACTCTTACCGACCAAAACCCGACCCGTTTACCCGAATTGACATCTCTACCCAAAACCTCCAAAATTTCACAAAAAGCGTGGATATAGACTTCAATTTATGAATTTTTTACTTTTTTTTGCCCGGAAATAAAAATTGTCGAAATGTTTACCATGGTCTCTAATACCCTCCGGGAGTCCAATAGGATGGGTGGAACCATCCAATTTGCCTTTAAACGGCCAATTTATCGGTTTAAAACTTGCGCCGATTTCATTAACTCAAGTCTACCACAAACATTATTGACAACATATAATGATCATATATGGTTCCAAACGGAATTATATGGAACCGAGATGTATCCCCTATAATTTAAAGGTTTTTCGACGTCGAGCCCCGAAACATTCGAAATTTCTCAAAAAGCGTGGATATTAGCCTTCAATTTTAGAATTTTTTTACTTTTTTCGCCCGGATATAAAAATTGCCGAAGTATTTACCATCTCTGATATCCTCCGGGAGTCCAATTGGGTGGGTTGAACCATCCAATTTGCCTTTAAACGACCAATTTACCAGTTTACAACTTGCACCGATTTCATTAATTCAAGCCTACCACGAACATTTATTACAACAAATAATGATCATATATGGTTCCAAATGGCATGATATGCCCCCGAGAGTATCCTCTATAATCTAAAGGATTTTCAACACCGGGCCCCGAAACCTCCAAAATTTCTCAAAAAGCGTGAATATAGCCTAGAATTATGGAATTTTTTAAAACTTATTTTAGCCCAAAATAAATTTGCCGAAATGTCTACCATGGTCCCTAATACCCTCTGTGAGTCCAATTGGGAGGGTGGAACCATCCTATTTTGCCTTTAAACGGTCAATTTACCAGTTTACAACTTGCACCGAATTCATTAATTCAAGCCTATCACGAACTTATATGAACTAAAATAATAATCATGTATATGGTTCCAAAAGACATTATATGGCCCCGAGATGTATTACCTAAATTCTCAAGGCTTTTCGACACTGTGCCCCGAAATCTCCAAAATTTCTCAAAAAGCGTGGATATAAGCCTTTAATTTTGGAATTTTTTGGCCTTTTTCGCCCGGAAATAAAAATTGCCGAAATTTTTACCATGATCCCTAATACCCTCCAGGAGTCCAATTGGGTGGGTGGAACCATCCAAAATTCCTTTAAACGCCCAATTTATCGGTGTACAACTTGCGTCGATTTCATTAACTCAAGTCTATCAAAAACATTCATGACAACATAAAATGATTATATATGGTTCCAAATGGCATTATATGACCCCCGAGATGTATCCCCTATAATATAAAGGCTTTTCGACACCAAGCACCGAAACCTCTAAAATTTCTCAAAAAACGTGGATATTAGCCTTCAATTTTGAAATTTTTTTACTTTTTTTTCGCCCGAAAATAAAAATTGCCGAAATATTTACCATGATCCCTAATACCCTCCAGAAGTCCAATTGGGTGGGTCGAACCATTCTATTTGCCTTTAAACGGCCAATTGATTGGTTTACAACTTGCACCGATTTCATTAATTCAAGCATATCACGAACAATTATGACAACATATAATAATTATATATGTTTCCAAACGGCATTATATGACCATGGATGTGTCCCAAAAAATCTCGAGTCTTTTCGTCAACGGGCCCTGAATCCACCAGAATTTCTCAAAAAGAGTGGATACTAAACTTCAATTTTAAAATTTTTTGACTTTTTTCGCCCGGAAATAAAAATTTACAAAACGTTACCATGGTCCCTAATACCCTCCGAGAGTCCAATTGGATGGGTGAAACCATCAAATTTGCCTTTAAACGACCAGTTTACCAGTTTACAATTTGCACTGATATCATTAAATCAAGCCTACCACAAACATTTATGACAACAAATAATGATCATACATTGTTCCAAACGGCATTATATGACCCCGAAATATATCCCCTAGAATTTCAAGACTTTTCAACACTCGACCCCGAAACTTTCAAAAATTCTCGAAAAGTGTGGATATTACCTTCAATTATGGAATTTTTTGACTTTTTTTTGCCCGGAAACAAAAATTCCCGAAATGTTTACCATGATCCCTAATACCCTCTGAGAGTCCAATTGTGTGGGTGAAAGGTGGAACTATATATCCAATTTTCCTTTAAACGGCCAATTTACCGATTTACAACTTGCAGTGATTTCATTAACTCAAGCCTACCACGAACATCTATGACAACATATAATGACCATATATGGTTCCAAACAGAATTATTTAATTTGGCCCCCATATGTATTCCCCAAAATCTCAAGACTTTTCGACACCAACCCCTAAAACCTCCCAAATTTCTCAAAAGACATAGATATTAATTAACCTTCAATTTTGGAAAATTTTGACTTTTTTTTGCCCGAAAATAAAAATTGCCGAATTGTTTACCATGGTCCTTAATACCCTCCGGTAGTCCAATTGGGTGGGTGGAACCATCCAATTTGCCTTTAAACAACCAATTTACTGGTTTACAACTTGCACCGATTTTATTGACTCAAGCTAGCTTACCACGAACAATTATGACAACAAATAATGATCATATATGGTTCCAAATGATATTATATGACCCTGAGATGTATTCCTTACAATCTCAAGGCTTTTTGATACCGAGCCCCGAAACCTCCAAAATATCTCAAAAAGTGTGGATATAAGCCTTTATTTTTAGACTTTTTAGACTTTTTTCGTCCGGAAATAATAATTTCCGAAATGTTTACTATGGTACCTAATACCCTTCGGGAGTCCAATTAAGTGGATTCTACCATCTAATTTGCCTTTAAACGACCTATTTACCGGTTTATAACTTGCACCGATTTCATTAAATCAAGTCTACCACGAACGTTTATGACAACTTATAATGATCATATACAGTTCCAAAAGTCATTATATGACCCTGAGATGTATTACCTAAATTCTCAAGGCTTTTTGACACCGTGCTCCGAAACTTCCAAAATTTCTCAAAAAACGTGGATATAAGCCTTCAATTTTGGAATTATTTTGGCTTTTTTCGCCCGGAAATAAAAATTGCCCAAATTTTTATCATGATCCCTAATAACCTCTAGGAGTCCAATTGGGTAGGTTGACCTATCCAATTTGCCTTTAAACGACCAATTTACCAGTTTACAACTTGCATCGATTTCATTAAATCAAGCCTACCACGAACATTTTTGACAACATATAATGATCATAAATGGCTCCAAACGGCATTATATGACCCCGAGATGTATCCCATAGAATTTTAATACTTTTCAACACCGGGCCCTGAATCTTCCAAAATTTCTCAAAAAACGTGGATATTAGCCTTCAATATTAGAATTTTTTGACTTTTTATCGCCCGGAAATAAAAGTTGCTGAAATTTTTACCATGATCCCTAATATCCTCTGGGATTCCAATTGGGTTGGTGGAACCATCCAATTTGTCTTTAAACGACCAAATTACCGGTTTACAACTTGCCTGGATTTCATTAACCCAAGCATACTACGAACATTTATGACAACATATAAGATCATATATGGTTCCAAACGACATTATATGACCCCGAGATGTATCCCCTAAAATATCAAGACTTTTCTACACTGGTCCCCGAAACCTCCATAATTTTTCAAAAAACGTGGATATTAGCCTTCAATTTTGGAATTTTTTGACTTTTTTCGTCCGGAGATAAAAATTGTTGAAATGTTTACCATGGTGCCTAATACATTCCAAGATTCCAATTGGGTGGGTGCAACCTTCCAATTTGGCTTTAAACGGCCTATTTATCGGTTTATAACTTGCACTTATTTCATTAAATCAAGCCTTAGCCTCCACGAACATTTATGATTACATATAATGATCGTATATGGTTCCAAACGTCATTATATGACCCCGAGATGTATTCCCTAAAATCTCAAGGCTTTTTGACACCGACTCGAAACCTTCAAAACTTCTCAAAAAGCGTGGATATTAGCCTTCAATTTTGGAATTTTTAAAACTTTTTTTTTTAACGGAAATAAAAATTGCCAAAATGTTACCATGGTCCTTTATATCCTATGGGAGTCTAATTGGGCGTGTGAAACCATCCAATTTGCTGTTAAACGACCAATTTGCCGGTTTACAACTTTCACCGATTTACCGGTTTACAACGACCAATTTAATTAACTTGCACCGAACCCGACTTGAACCGAAATTGACCCTTACCCGTTTTATCCCCTCAAAACCCAAATTTGACCCGACTTGTTACTAACCTGACCTGAATTCAGCTAGACCCATTCCTAACCCGACCCGAATTTAATCCAACCTGTTAAAAACCCGACTCGAAATCATCCTGACTTGTTATTGACTAGACCCAAATTCAACCCGAATTGTTATTGGCCCGACCCAAATTTTACCAGAACTATTACTTACCCGACCCAAAAAATCAACCCGATCTGTTACTAACCCGACTCGAAATTAACACGACTTGTTATTGACCCGACCTAAATTCAACCCAAATTGTTCCTGACCCGTTTTCAAATCACCTTAAATGCAATTTAGACCACCTTATTATTGTTGATCAAAGCATTTTGTCTAGGGATACCAAGTCGGTCCAGGCCTGCAAAAGAAAGGAGCATCATCCTCTAATTTAAGAGTTAAATATAGTATATATTTGTTGTATGGTCAAAGGAGATAATTATCTTCCTAAATTATAGACTATAGTTCCCTAGTATATTGTCATATATATTAGGGGTGAGAAAAGTTTTGGGTACCCGGAATTGGAACCGAAACCGGCGGGTCCGGAACCGAAATTGGACCCGGTGGTTCCAATTTCGGGTAATAAATTCAGGACCGGTTATAACCAATTCCAATTCTCAACTTTTTGGAACCGGAACCGGTTGGGTACCCGGTTATCTAATATATGCTAAACTAAATAAATTTTAAATAATAAAAATATGTTGAATGCATCTAACTTGTAAATTAAAAAAAGTAATATTAATAGCTAACATCAATACAAATAGCTTCATGCATATAAAAATATAAATATTAAACCCTAAAAATAAACCTAACTAAAATAAGAATTATAATTTGTATTATATTTTAACAATTACATACATAAGTGGGTACCCAGAATCGGAACCGGTACCCGGCGGTTCCAATACCAATTTCTAAATTTTAGGACCCGGTTGAACAAATTCCAATTCCAGATCCAAATTTTAGGACCCGGTTCCGACCAATTCCAAGTTTGGGTCCTAAAATTTTGACCGAGTACCTAGTTTGCTCACCCCTAATATATATTATAGTGAAAGGAAATATTTAGCTTGATAAAAATGATAATTATCTATTTATATTTAGTTGAACCCGAGTATGACTTGACTTAGAAATGACCCGACCTGATTGTAACCTGCAAATTATTGACTTGAAGATAACGCGACTTGAATCCGAGAATGACCTGACTTAGAAATGGCCCAACCTGATTATAACCCGCAAATTATTGACTTGAACCGAACCCGACTTGGACCCGAGAATGACCCGACTTGAATTGACCTGACCTGATTATAATCCGTAAATTATTGACTTGAACCGAACCCGACTCAAACCCGATAATGACCTGATCTGCTTCTAACCCGCAAATTATTGACTTGAACGAACCCGACTCAAACCCGAGAATTACACTAATTAGTTTTAACCCGTGAAAACCCAAATTAAACCCGACCTATTGTTCACCCGATCCAAATATAACTTGACCTGCTATTAACCCGACTCAAACCCGATAAGAAGAATGACCCGACTCAAGCATGACCTAACCCAAACCCGACTCGCATCGGTTATGGAATTAATCCGAAATGACCTGACCCACTCTTACCCGACCTAAACTCAACCCGTTTACCCAAATTGACAACTCTACTATAAATTCATACGTGTCAAAGGATCAATCTAACCAAAAAGTTAAGCTGATGAATGAAGTAAAGGATCGTAATTGCTTGATTTTATTTATGACACATCCCACACTCAATTGATGATATAACGGACCCGTCCATTAAACAATAACCAACAACCCTAGGGAGATTGTGTGACAAATCATAAGTATAACCGTTATATTCTAACCAAGCTGATGTATACATTAATTAATTGTTTCATACTGTGTTGGCTCTTCCAGCTGTTATCTAAAATTAGTGATAGCTACTACGTATATATAAGTATCACACTCCCATATTTATACCATCCAACCAATTTATTTTAGATATTGTAGAAAGAGAGGAAAAAAAAAAAGTCCTATAAACGAAAATGGCCCAGAGAATTCGGGCAGTTTTGGTGCCTATTTTTGCATTTGTTCTTGGTATACTAGCTGTTGTTTTCAGCTTTCTTGCTTATGCCAAAAGAATTAAGGTGAGTATATTGTTACTGTGATTTTATTTTTATTTATCATTTTTTAAAAATTTTAATATTGATGCATAATTTATACATTATTGCATACTTTATTTAGTAATTTTTAGGTTTTTCTTACAGATATTCCACGTAATTATGTATGTAATTTGTGAAGTACATATTTTTCATTTATAATTCCTCGGATCACAAATTATAGATCAAATAGTTAAGTTGAGTATGATTATGAATTATGATGTATTCATAGTACTAGAACAATGTGATTTAAAATATCCACTCATCTATATTTTTGGAACTTTCATATTATCTATATCAAATTCATTCATTGAAAATAAAAATGTGTTCGATAACTAATCTTATTATCTACTAAAACTTTATTCTTTAGAAATGAATTGATCTGAAATGAACTGAATTAACTAAGTTATCGAGGGAGTAATTAGAATTTGTCGCGTACGGGTCAAGGAAGGTATGAAGGGATGTTCAACTGCCCAACCGGCCAACCAACCAAACCAATTAAGGTTGAGGCCCAATAATTGATGAGAAACCCCTATAAATTAAATTCTCACGACAACTTCATAATTGAATGTGGCACTGAGCTTAGATTAGAGCCCTAGATGCGATTGGCCCATGATTTGACTAAATGTGATTTTTTAAAAGTTTTGTAGGCAACAAATTACAAATTAACAATCATAATATAATACGGAGTACTCCATATGATAATTCTCGGGTCAAAATTAATTAATACACAACTAGTACGGAGTATAATTGGAAGTTTTAATTTGAACCACTTTTTGTACTAATTATTGTTTAATGGAATAATACTTTGTTTAAATTTATAGCTAAAATAAGGTTTTCAAAATGTACATGTAGAACAGATGGACCATGGACGTACACATGTAATTTAACGTGTGATTTTCTCATAATTGTCTATAACACGCAATATTATCATCAATTCATGATTAATTATACATAACAGATGAAGTAAAATTATAATTGATTGCGATTTGTACGCCCGTTGTTAACTAGTCTTTGTTCGGGTGGGCTGCAGGCAGATGATGTAGGTCCGAAAGTAAATGGGGCATGCGTATATCCAAACACAGGAGCATGTGCACTTGGTATAACTGCTGCTGCACTTCTTTTGGCTGAACAAACTCTAATTAGTGCTGCTATCAGCTGCTTTTGCTGTTGTGGTTTACGCATTTCTTCTACTTGTTCTGCTATTACTTCTCTTATTCTCTTTGTCATTTCCTGGTATGTCTCACAACCTCTGCATTTCTACCCCTTTTACCTTCGATAATATCTGTTAGATTTTATGAAACTCCTCAGATTGGAGTGTATTCCATTAATCAATATATATAGGGTTACAATCATGAGTCCTAATCATGTTAGGAAATCTCAAGAGATAATTACAGAATATATACAATATATATCCTACTATAACAGAATACAAAGAATATTTATCCTATATTCTATCACACCCCCACAGTCGTAGCGGGAGGAGGACGTACGCTAAGACTGGATCTGAAATCCACAAATAGTTGTCGAGGTAGGCCTTTCGTGAAAATGTCTGCAAACTGGTACCGTGAAGGAACGTGTAAGACTCGTACATGCCCCAACGCCACCTTTTATCGAACGAAATGAATGTCCATTTCGACGTGCTTGGTGCGTTGATGCTGTACGGGATTATGAGATAAATAAATTGCACTGACATTATCACAATAGACAAGAGTAGCCTGCCGGAGAGGACAATGTAGCTCTAAAAGAAGATTACGGAGCCAACAAGCCTCGGAAACAACATTTGCGACGCCTATGTATTCTGCCTCCGCACTTGACCTAGACAGAGTTGGTTGACGCTTAGACGACCAAGAAATAAGATTGTCACCCAAAAAGCAACAATAGCCGGAAGTAGAGCGACGAGTGTCAGGACACCCGCCCCAATCTGCGTCTGTATAAGTAATCAAGTTCGACGGAGGTGAAGGATATAAATGTAACCCATGATCAATGGTACCCTGAATGTATCGCAGAATCCGTTTCAATGCATCATAATGAGCCTCTCTGGGATCATGCATAAATAGACAGACCTGTTGAACTGCATAAGCTATATCAGGGCGAGTAAAAGCGAGGTACTGTAATGCACCTGCAAGACTGCGATAGAGTGTCGGGTCATGAAACCTAGGTCCAGCATCTGCGATGAGCTTTGATTGAGTGTCCACTGGCGTCTGCGCAGGTTTACAACTGCTCATACCTGCACGCTCAAGAATTTCCTGTGCATATTTTTTCTTTGACATAAACAAGAATGAAGGAGTACGAGTAACAGAAATACCCAGAAAATAATTCAGAGGACCTAAGTCAGTCATTGGAAACCCTTTCTATAAGTGAGATATGATGTTCTTACCAATTTATCTGAGGATGTAACCAACACAATATCATCAACATATAGAAGTAAATATGCCGTGTCTTTCCCATGTCGGAAAATAAATAATGGTGTGTCCATTTTTGCAATAACAAACCCCATCTGCAAAAGATAATTAGCAAATCGCTGGTACCAAGCTCTCGGAGCTTGCTTGAGGCCATATAAAGCCTTGTGAAGTCTGCAAACATAACCTGGAAATCGCTTATCAACAAAACCAGGGGGTTGATGCATATAAACACACTCATTCAAATCACCACGTAAAAAGACATTTTTAACATCAAGTTGATGAATAGACCACCGACGAGCCATAGCCAGACTCAACACTGTTCGAATAGTAGCCGGTTTAAAAACCGGACTAAACGTCTCATCACAGTCAACACCTTGAATCTGAGACCTGCCATCACAAACTAAGCGAGCTTTGTGTCTTTCAAGATCACCATTAGCTTTCAATTTATGACGATGTAACCACATACAATTAACAATATTCACCCCCGTAGGCCTAGGAACCAATTCCCATGTCTCCGCTTCAATTAAAGCACTATATTCATCACGCATCGCATCATTCCAATTTGGATCGGAAAGGGCTTGTTTGTGATTTTTTGGAAGCGGGGAACAAATGATGGCGGATAAAAAATTGCGGAAGTTAGATCGAAACCTAAAGCTCTGATACCATGTTAGATTTTATGAAACTCCTCAGATTGGAGTGTATTCCATTAATCAATATATATAGGGTTACAATCATGAGTCCTAATCATGTTAGGAAATCTCAAGAGATAATTACAGAATATATACAATATATATCCTACTATAACAGAATACAAAGAATATTTATCCTATATTCTATCAATATCTAAGTACCTACATATATTCACTCTGTCTAGCATTAACAGTCACGTCATCATTATATTTGATGTATGCTTTGAATTACTAATGTGACAAGTGACAAGACTGACAACTAAGCCTGAATAAAATAATACGGTATAAAAATTGGGTTGTTATAAAAAATTATGGAACTATAAAATGTGGTCCGGAAGTCAATTTATACAACGATTGTGCCACTTAAAATATATATCAACCCTTAGCTTGTGTTATACAACTTGACGTTTAAAAAGGGTATTAGGAGATTTTGACGAATGTGGCCTACTACTTAAAATATAATCCTTGGCTTTGTTGTTTTGATGCAGGGTAACATTTGTGATAGCATTTTTGGGATTACTATACACAGCCATCCACAATAACATAAGTTATCTAGCAAAAATTCAATCTGAAGACAATAATCACATTTGCAAAGTTGGTAAAGAAGATTTGTTCCTTGGTGCTGCACTTTGGTGTGTAATTACCATTGTTTTAGGACTAATCTCTTACGCTTTCTGGGTGTGTGGCGCTGCTAATAACACGAACAATAATTACGCTAGCTCGGCTAATTATAAGCAGGGTGTTGCAATGGGACGACCTCATACACAGCTATCAAAGGAACAATATTGATTTTGTGATATTGCTTGGTTACATGTATACTATATATAAAAATGATGTATTGTTATTAATTGATTTGAGATTAAGCATTGCAAGAAAAAAAAAATTGGTTGATTCATTTTGGAATTAAAGTTTGATGTGATCTTTGAAGATTGTCTTTGGAATTATCAAGAAAAAAAATGGTTAATTCATTTCAAAAGTATACATTGTAGTGTAAGTCTTAGAAGATTTGTGCGTTGTTACGCGTACATAGTTATATAGATGTTATTTTGATAAATGGTACTTTGTTTACTCCCACCGTTGCTATATAAATTATCACTCATTTCGTTATAGTTTTGTTTGGTTAATATTTAATCATGATATACGTGGGGATGGAGTTAGTGATGGACCTATTAGCAACTCCTCTTCTTGTTCATGTCCAAGTAACTACCAACTTGCCTTTTCAAATAGTTGTATTGCTCGTAGTCAGCAAAATGATGTTATGAAAATGATTGTGCAAAGGAATTATTTTTCCATGTTCCATAATAATTGGGTATTTCGATTTCTATTTCTATATTCACTAAACCCAACAAATTAAAGGAGAAAATATAAAAGAAAAGAAAAGAATTTCCCCCTTTCTTGCTCCATACGACCATACATACATACCCCCCTCCCCCATATTACATTTTATAGGGTGCACCAAAATGTGGATCTCTACAAAGAATGTCAATCCCAATCAATTTTAATTTGGACCCACAATAATGTTATGGGAGGAGGGTCCAAGTTTTATCTTAATTGAAGTTATCTACTTTTAGTAAGACCCAAAAAATAAAGCGAGGAATGTATCAAGTGGTTATAGCTTCTCTCTCGATTTTACGAAATTATGAGATTGATTCTTACCTCTGTTGAGAGATTACACGCAACATTACAATTTGTTGATTTTGTTGTTCACACTCAAATTTATCACGTTGATAAACAAAATTCGTTTATCAAGTGGTAAAATTGTAAATAAATCAATAAAAATGTCTAATCGACATGATATTTTTCGTAATTATATCAACAACTATGTGATTTTGTAACCTTTATTTAGTATTGTTGATATATTTGTAGATTTGCCATTAATTTATTTAGATGATAAACTTGTATTTTTCCGGGGCACATTTTCCCCAAAAGACCCTTGAGAGCTCTCAAAGTGTCAATTATCACCCCACTACTTTCCTAAAGTTACCCTATTTTTTTCATTTCCCCCCTTTAACCCTTTTTCCGATATTTTTTCCCCGATTTTTACCCTAATAAAATACATTTTGTCTTAAACAAAATTGTCAAAATTAAGCTTATTACTCATAGGTTGAATTCCAAAAAAAATAAAAATAACAATAAAAAAATGTTATCATCGCATTTTCACAAACTGTTTAGTTTTAAGCCCTATAATTGGATTGAAACAATTCACAAAAAGATGGAAAATCTCCGATTTTTCAAAGATCAATTCAGACTGTATATTTGGATTGAGTTTAAACCCTAAAGTCAGTTCCTATCGTATAAGGTACTCGTACTTCATTCTCTCCATTTCTATATTCTATGTATACTTTAGTTTTATTTTATTTTAATAAGAAGAAAAAAAAAATTGAATGATGACATTTACAAGTGTAGTACTATTGTCTATACTCCCAAGGGGAGATCTTGAATAATTAGAAGAATTTCAATTACTATTTAAACTCATTATTTTGGAATTATGGGATTAAATTATTCCTTTAATTATTATGATTTGTGTTACTTTTGCCTAACAAGTTCCTGCTTTACAGGTCTCATTACCAAAGTTGAAGCCTTTTTTCCAATTTTTATTTTTCATTTTTTATTTTTACCTTTGTGTGTAGGACCAATGAATCCTTGAGTTTCTTAGGTGGACTCATCATATTATTGATAATTATAAAATTGAAAATGATGGGTTTTCAATTTCATTGCTTGATCTTATTTCCTACATAATATGCTCTTCATTGACTGTTGTTGCTTTCTTGGACCATATACATGTACAAATACCATGTAATAGCATTAGATAATTTATTTTAATTAGTGTTTATGTGCTAATCTTGTTGCTAATGGCTCTACTTATTTGACTAATTTGTGTTTTTTAATGGGATTTTTATGCTACGTTGCAACATTTTAGGTAGTATTTTTTTTTATGTGATTATGGAGTTTAAAGGGTTTTGGTGAATTTTTACTGAACTTTGTGGTCCATCTATTTTGACTAGTTTTTAGCAAATTTATGTGGTTTCAATTGGATTACAAGTAGTGCATTGAAGTTGGATGTTTGGGGTTTTAGATGTTGGTGAATGGTGGGTGAATGTTATAATCAACTTTTTTTTACCTAGTATTGGAAATTCTTACACATAACACCCCCAACTTCAAAGGTGTTTCTTACTTTAAAGGTGTCTAGGAAAAAAAAGGGCAATTTGGGAACAGAAAAGAAGGGAAATAAGCTACCAAAGATTGCAAATTCTTGTGATTATGCCTTAATTTGTTTGGACTTTGGAGTTATATTCTTATATGATTAGGTTAATTACATTGTGTAAAATTAAGCCAAGAGATGATATAGGTGGAGCCATATCCACTCCAGTTGTAATTTAACAAGACGGTCGGATATGCATGATGGAGAAAAATGTCATCTTATTCATTGTTATTCCTAGTTAAGGTGGTCTCATTTGAAGATAATATTGAACTAAAACAAATGGAGATGATCCTAATTAAATTAAGCTAAGAAATACTAGTACTTTAAAGAAGTCCAAATGTAGGTTGTTACAAGTCTTATACAGTAGTAAGTAGAGATAAGATATTAATAAACAAAAAGATCCCTTGATTTTGTGGCCATGTATTGTCTATTTAATTAAAGAGTCATGACACTCTGGAAAATGTACCAAAATTTGCAAGTGTGTTAGTGTGTACCCTTTTTTATTTTCTCTTTTTTCTTTCTCCTTTCACACTCAATTTTCTCCTATAACAAATAATGGTGACAAAAACCCAGGAATCTAGTGCCTTTTAACTCCTGAAAAGCCCAGGTTTTTAGAGCTGTAAGAGAATGAAATATAATGTGGGGATCAAAAAATTAAAAGGTACTCAAAATGAAAGGAAAAATAAAGCAGCAAATTGGGTTTAAAAAGTATTAAACTTTCACTGAATTCCAGGACAAAACTATCATGTTCTTTTCCACTCATAATCTGTCATTTCTGTTAAAGTTTTCTGTAACTAATTTTTGGTAATTTAATGTCAGATGATACTTGTTAAGTACTGAGATACCCTGCATCACAGTTGAAGCAATTAGTCCTTCGTTCCTTGTAAGTTTTCTTTTTACATTTCTTATGCATTTTTTCAATTTTTATGTTGTTAGTTTGCTGTCAAATTTATGATCTTATGAAAAAATATTGGTGTTGTTTTGTTGAATTTTGAAGGTGTTGAGGCGAATTCTTGATGATGGAAGAGAAGGGTGTGTCAAAATCATGTGATTTTGTGTCTGAAGTTAGAGATGATAGTTTATGTGCAATGTACTTTGGTATATCTTGTGCCTTTTATGCTCTTAAGAAGTTGTCAAGTGAAAAACTGGATGATGAAATGAGGGAAAAGATGCTGCAAGGGAGTGTTAATCTGTTAGGATTGTTGGTGTGGAGGAGAGTGCAGGAGGGTGAGGAATCGAAGAGGATCGAAAAACATGAGCTTCATCGTAAGCTTGAGGCTGCTGAGAGGGAGATCATGGAGTTGAAAAGAGCAAGAAGTGAGGATGCTAAAGCTAATGATAAAGTTGCTAGTATATATGCTGCACAAGAGCAAGGCTGGTTTGGTGAAAGGAGGCGGCTTAGGCATCAGGTTGAGAGTCTTTTGAATGATTTACGAATTCTTGATAAACGAAAGAATGAAGCTATTGCTGATTTGGATAGGAAGCTTGGGGAGATGGAAGTTTTGGTTAAGTCTAAGGAGAAGGTGTTGGAGGAAGACGAGAAGAAGAGGAACGAGTTGGAAGAGCAATTGAAGTCTGCTGAGGCTGTTATAGAGGAATTGAGAGAGACTAATAAGAATAAAGCTCAAGATCATTCGTCTGAGCTGTTGAAGCATAAGACGGCTTTCATTGAGCTTGTGTCTAACCAAAGGCAGCTAGAAGCTGAGTTGAGTAGGACGCTTAGGCAAGTGGAAGGTGCTAAGCAGCAACTTGAATGTCTGTTCGATGAAAAGGAAGAGGCGGTGTTGATGGTAGAAGAGTTAGCAGTGGAGCTTCAGAAAACGCGCAAAGAATCAGAGCAAAAAGATAAGATTTTATCAGCACTGATGAGGAGAATAAAGGTGGACTCACCTGAGATTCTGAAAGAGGTCAAGCTATTGAAACCCAAAAGGAAAATTGGTGAAAGAAAAACAGAAAGGTTGGGAAGTTTTCCTAGTTCAAGAAGTGAAAGACACACATTGAGAAATTTGCTGTCAAGGCAAGTCAGTTCGAAACTGTTAGAGGCTTTTCCGGCTGATGGGAATAGAGAAGGGAGCACCAAATCAGAGCTACGCAAGGCGGTTTTTGATGAATTGGATGCTGAAATGAGAAAAGAAATTGAAGATAGTTATTCTGCACAGACTGAAAAAAGATTTCCTGAAGAACATACTGAGTTTCGTAAGTTTTACATTTTAACATCTTTCTTTTCATCTGTAATTTGCTTATCTGAACTTATTTTCCTTAACTTTTTAAGCTGTAGAGAACAATGTTTGTAAATTTTCATGTTTGTTATTGATCTTGAGTTATGTTGTTGCTGTTGGACTGTCAGATGAAGCAACGCGATTGGATGAATGGGTTCATGCTGAGGCAGAAAAGTATCATAATGCAGTTGAGCAGAGGCATCAGCTAGAGTTAGATGCTTTGGAAGAGCAAATACGGATGAAGGAAGATAAACTAGAAGCCTGCCGATGGAAGCTATTGAGTGCAGAAGTAGAGTCAAAGAGGTTGCAGTCGAAAACAGAAGACTATAATCAAGAATTGTCCCAACTCCGGGATGATAACTTGAGATTGGAGTCCTTGTTGGCAGACCGAGAAGTAGAGCTTAAAACTTTGAAGGATCAGGTTTCAATGCAATTGAGCAAATTGAGTGTTCAAAAGGCAAGAAAACATTCATCTAGGAGTAATCTTTCGATAGATGATGATAATGGCTGGTCTAAGTTTAAATTCACAAAGAAAAAACCAGATGAGAAGGACCAAGAACCAAAGATGAGTGTGGTGGAAGAAGAGACTAAGAAACCAGTGGAACGAGACTCTTCATCGAAACATACCTCTTCAACCTCTTTCTCCTCCACTGAAGACATTGAAGAGAAACACATTCTAGAAGCAAAAGTGTGCTTGAACAAGGTTAATGCATCTCCTTGGAAAGTAGATCTTCATGCCTTGGGAGTTACTTACAAGATCAAGCGGCTAAACCAGCAGCTGCTCATGCTTGAAAGATTAACAGGAAATCAAGAAAGCAATGAATTTAAGAGTTTTAATACGCTGCTTTCTTTGCTTAAAAAGCAAGTGAGTAGATATCAATCCCTTCAAGAGAAGACCGATGACCTTAGCAAGCGAATGGTAAGCTTCATACATATCTTGTGCATAATGCAGACTGACAGCATTTTAAGTACTATACTGTATTTGCTTAACCATTTTCCTGTTGTTATTTTCAGGAAGATAAGGATTTAAACTTGAAACAAAGAGTATCAAGTTCCAAGAGAACAAAAGAGGAAACAAAGAAGCTTGAGCACTTCCTCGAGGAAACATTTCAATTACAGAGATTTATAGTCGCGACAGGGCAAAAACTGATGGAAGTACAGTCCAAGATTGCTGCTGGATTTGTTGCTGGGATCACGAGTGAGCTTGACGGGCCTGATAATTTTGATATGAAGCGATTTGGTGATACAATGCAGTGTCTCTTTAAGGATGTTCAAAGGGGTCTTGAGGTCAGGATGTCTCGGCTTATTGGTGATCTTGAAGGCACATTAGCTTATGAGGGAATTCATTTTCTGAAGTAATGACTTCAGAATCTGACAAAAACAATCTCAGGGTTTTTAGCTTAATATGAAAAACATTGAATGTATATTCTTTCAATCAATTGATGCAACAAGAAAAGAAGCCTTATGTTCTTATGCGACTTTGTACATAAACAGCTATCCAAAATAATACAGTATACTGAATAAAAATATACTTCTGCGTTTGTTTTATACTGCTGCAGATCAGATATTTGGAGAATCTAGTTATTCAGCTGTATTTTGGTAGTTTTCAGAACATTCTTTGCAGAACTTGTTTTGGATTTGTCAGCTGTATCAGTCATAGTTAGTGCAGATGATAAATCAGGTGTCTACATCTCATTATGATATCAATTCGTGGTCGGAAACAGAACACCAATATGCAAGTATGATCCTGTTTTTGTGGATTAAAATTATCAAAATGTGTGAAAGTAATTTCAGTTGAAAGGACCATCTGGTTTTCCTGAGATCCTAATGTCACTGGTATCATTCTCTAACGAGTTAATGTCATTTTAGAAAAAAGGCATGGTCGCTATTCTAAAATAAGTTCACTTAACTAACTTTTTTCCTTTCATATTATCCGTCACTTAAAATATCTAACGTGCTAATTGCACCAAAAAAAAAAAACACACACACTGATATTTGTAGTAGTCGTAAATCAATGGTGTAAAACATGACCCAATTGACAAAAAATGCTAAGATTATAATAATTTGTAATCAACAATCATAAAGCATAGATAAAATGTCATTAGAAGTAAGAAAATTTAGAGGATATGTTTCTCTGCTATTGTACAACCAGCATTTGTAGCTGAATTGATTTCTCTGAAAAATGTAGGTAGATTTGTTTGAATTTTTTAGGCAAAATCTTTTATGACCGTTGATATGATATTGAATTTACAGCTTCAAAAAAACATCTGGACCTATCTTGAGTATCTTCATACATAAAGAGGTTTATTCGTACAAAACCTTGAATTTTCTGATTTGTCTTTATTAAAATATTTTCACATGGTCGGCCCTTCAAAGATATGAACTGAAACTCATTAATTTAGTAAATCTAATTTAATTTAAATTTGACAAGTAAAATTTCCAATGATTTTCTAAAAGTCGAGTTATTTTTAGTCCGTTACATTTATAGAAATAAGCTTAGGTCAAACCCAAATTTTAAAAAATGATTTTGACGCTCCAAATATTGATTTTGACAGTACATTTTGTCGTAAGAACACGTGTTTATACTCTATTTAAAAAGAGGAGTGTCATAATCAATTTTTCATACACCCATACACAACTCTTTTAAGTACTGCTTTTACCAATTTTCATATTTTGTAAGCAATTATATTGTAATGGATTTGTCATACCATGTGATATGACAAGCTTAAACTTGTGAACCTCAAAATATTTTATCTATTTTTTCAAGCCTTTTACTTACAATCAGGGTTTCTAAATGAAGCATAATGTTTCTAATCATCATGATGTTAAAGTGAGAGAAAAAAGGAACAACTAACTCCATTTTCATCTAATCATGCCTTGAATCCACCAATAAGAATTTAGAAATAACTAACAACTTCAACGTCTAAAATGTGACCGTTGATAGCATTCCCTCTAAAAATTGAAACATTACATTCCTTTTATGACCATATAAAACATTAAATATAAATATTTAAACGTTATTAAATATTAGCCGTACTATATGGTCCAAATGCCTTATTTATTGCATAAAATTTGCTAATACTTGATATTCCTCGTGAGTTATATAGCGCTAGGAGCGTTTTCTAATTCCTAACTCTTTTCCTTTTCACATTCCTCTCATCTATGAATGTATTATCATGTATTTCTATATATACCTAACTTTAAATCTTTAACTACCATACTTCTCATACATCTTTCTCCGTTACTACCACCCTCCTTCCTTTTCTTAACAAAACCCGGTTTTTACTAAACAATCTTGAACAACATGTGTTATTGGTACGTATAGTGAGGTAACAAGTTCAATTCTCATATATTTTAAATAAGAATTGAATGGAACGAGTCTGCCTGGCACAGAATTACATGCATTGTTGTGTATGAGTTGTAAACTTGTTCTTTTGGATCTTTTTATGAAGTATGGGGCCTAAATTAGGTGATCAACTAGCTTCCACACCACCAAAGCTATCTCTCACAAACCTCCCAAGTTTGAAGGGAATCGCGCCGGAGTCACCATGGACTTTGACACCACCGTTGCACCCCATGGCATCCATTCCCTTCAAGTGGGAGGAAGCACCCGGAAAGCCCAGGTTTACCAACAGTTCAAGCCCATGTAAGAAGCCCAAGAGTGTTAGATGCTTAGAACTTCCTCCTAGGATGTTGGTTGAGGGCCTTGAGGCTAAAGTGGCCCATATGCCTTCCTCCCCAACTGCGGTTTTAGATGGGCCTAGTTTGGGCCGATCTTTGTCTCAAAGGTTCTGCTTTGAAGGCCCAATTCTTAATGCTAGTCCTGTATTGGGCTTGAATGTAAAAGAAAATAGTGTAATGGGTCAAGGGAAGAGTAAGAAGAAAGATGTGAAAAGACAAATTGGGCCTTGGAAGAGGTGGGCCAGTGGTAATGGTACGAAGTGGAATCAAAAGCTTTACAAGGGTAATTCTGGCATTTCACCTTGGAGTGATAGTATTGAGGGGAGTGATGTTATGAATGAGAAGGATATTGAGGTGAAAGTAACAAGATTTAGAAGGCGATCAAAAAGAAGTCTACACAAATTATCAAATACAAGCTCTCGTGTATTTGTAAGTCCAAATTCTTACCTTACCACAAATCATTTCAATTTTTTTTGTTATTATTTGTATTAATATTTTGCACTAATAAGTACTAAGTATATTATTTGTATCTAATAGTCTAATATGGAGTATGATTCTTTTTAAAAAAAAATTGTAGGAAAACATCCTTGAATGCCTTAAGCAAATAGTGGTACGGCGGCGCAAAGAGGAGAAGCAAAGATATGAAGCATCATAGATTTTAGATTATGCATAGCTTTCTTATAATGTATCCTTTGCGTTAAATTGTATAAAATGATATATCAAATACAACAATGGATTATTGCACCTATTATATCATTAGTATGTTATGTCAAGAACACTGAACACACCTACACGTACAAAAACAAAGGTCATTGTTTAAACTTTCATTGTGTTGAAACCCATTGTAGCCCACTTGTGAGTGTCCCACATTGGAGAAAGAGGAGAGGTGGGTCCACTTTATAAGGTAGAGGAGTTACTCCTACTATTGCCAATTGGTTTTAGTATGGAAGCTCCAATGCCTTGTTTGTGAACCAAACTCTCCTCCTCCTTGTTTGGGTTACCCAGGCCCATTTCATATTGTTTCAAAATTAGTATTTTAACTTTACAACCCTAGCCCAATACAAAACTATGACGTTTAATTAACTTCAAATTGAGCTCATTTGGAGTGTGTTTTTGTGAGATCGATGAGATCGAATTGTTAATACTAGATCGGTCTTCTAATTCAGAATTCTTTACATCATAATATCATAACAAGAGAAGGTAAAAAGGAAATGCAAATGTTTAAGCTAAGTAGTTTACCAAAGATAGTAAACTGTTACATTTACTACTATGTGACAAGCTACAAGGTTACATACTGCCAATGAAAATGTCAAGCTTCAGCTACAAACTTGTAAGTTGTAACCTCAAAAAAAGACATTAGACTAATACTAAATCTAATTCTAACACCAAAATATACTTCCCCCTAATCTAGTCTACACACTAGATTACGTCAGTTAATTAAATCACATCAAAATATCATGACACTTTAGTTAATCATATGTATCAAACATAGTTTAAAGCTAAGGCCCTCCTTTTCTTGTAATTGGCCTTGAAACATTGTTGCCTTAGCCTCTTTGTTTCCTCCGTTAATTCAAATTCGGCCATAAATTGAAGTTTCCTCTTGTCCTCCTCTAAACGCTCCACCATTTTCACCATGCCTTGCTCCTACACGTATATATACATCATATATAATATCATTATTAGATTCAAAATAAAACCACACTCTTTATAAGACCGGAAAAGGGATAAATATGCACAAAAAGTCAAAAACATATCAATGGACACAAGTAAATTTCTAGTTTTGAATACAATACATTGAAATTATACCAAGATCTATAGACTATAGCTTTATACTTCGTAAACAAACTATCTAACAATTCACAAACTTAGCAAATTCAATTTTTTTATGGTAAAATTAGAATCTAGCTATCAACTATATATAATTTCTGCAATTTATTAAATATAAATAACGAAATAATGATTGATCAAATCTACTATAGTAGATATTGATGCTAGGCAAAAATATAAATACACTTCCCCAAAATCACAGCTATACACCTATACTCAATCACACGCAGCAAAGAAATAAAAAATACTGTAAAAAAAATATATATATCTACATCTAAGTTTTCATGTTCATGAAGCATTAAATTATAGGGACAAGTGACAACCAATAACGTTACGTACACTTTAAAGTGTAATTGTATGTAAATCATTTTATTTATTTTATTTTTCTTGTTGGGATTTACAGTATGAAGATGCAATTTTTGTATTTATGCAAATTAAATTTGAATAAATCATCAATGACTCATACTAATTGCATAATATTAACAATCACAAATTAAAAAGAAGGTGTTTATATATCTTCTTTTTTCATTCATAAATCATAATCAAGTTTTTTTATTTAGCCTAAAAGTAAATAATATTGAATTATGTATAACAAGAATAATAAAAAACATGCATATATACGACGTACCTTGACACTATTGATGAGAGCTTCCAAGCTTTTGATTTTCCTATGAGGCCATCTTTTAATATTTAACTCTCTACACCTCTTCTTCAATACTGTTAACCCTACATTCAACTCTTTAGCTGCCTTACTAATTGGCAAATCAAAATACTTCCTTATTTCTTCGTACCCAATCGATTCGATCTTTGTCATTTTATTTTTCCTAATTTCATCATTTTGATCACAACTATCTTCACCAACAATAATATTCTCATTTTTCACTAATTTGTTACCTTGTTTTTGCATTGTGTCCAAAGTTTGATTGTCGTACACACTAGCCGTGAGTACAAATTGAGTATCATTGAAACGAGGTTGATTCGAGTTTTCGATAATTGAGGCAAGTGATGGTACCAAAGGAGGAAGTTGGCTAAGAGGTTTCCATGCATCTTCTTCACATAGAGGAGGGCATTCATCCCATAATTGAAAATCATCACCTAAATATTCTAAGTTGTTTAGTGATTCATTATTGGTGAAAGGATAATCAAGAAGATAATCCTGAAATTCTGTATCAAATTGTGGCATTGTTGGTAGTAACGATTCTTCAAATAATGACCTGCATTTAAATTAAATTCAAACCTATATTAGGTTAATAACAAAATTATATTAAACTCTCGTGAATATATTCTTACAACAAACTATATATATATATATATATATATATATATATATATATATATATATATATATATATATATATATATATATATATATATTGTAATTTAAACTAGTAACACGTTAAACTAAAATAGTAATCAACTCGAGTATTTAACACACTCATTTTATGTTACGTACGTACCTTTGTTGCACGAAACTATCTTCGAAAAGGTGCCAGCAATTTTGAAGGTCGTAGCATTGAATCTCCATCTTAGGAAAATTATTAGTAGCAATTTCCATGATGATTGGAGAAAATGATCGAGTATAAAGAGAGTGATGAGAAAAGTAGGGAAATGTGTATTTTTTTGCAAAGATAAATAGAAGTGGGAAGAGTAATTTATTTGATGATTAAATTGGGAGTTTCGTTACTAATTTATATTCTTGTGATACTGTTTATTGTAAATTGTTACTATATAAATAACTAATTTATTGGGAAGACAATATACCAATAGCTAAAAAAGGGGGGATGCATTAATATGTTTTTTGATGCGAGTAATTAAATTGTTTTTTCACTTTTCATTTTCAGATAATTGTACCTTTTGGGGTTTTATTTATTTATTCATAAACTCATACATATATGATACATGCATGCATGTACATTATTATTTTTATTGTGTAAATATATTTTCACTTACTTATATAGAAATGGATTTGGCCTAAATTTGCTAATTTGTACACTAATGTAAGTATTTTAATTTGGTAATTTTGTGGTAAATTTATGCTTATGGGAAATGGACGGAGCATAATTGGATAAATTGATTAAATTCCTCACATTTCATATTCAATTTTGTTTTTATGTTCAATATTTATCAATTATCATTGTTTTTTTTTTTCGTAAAAATAGTTTGGATTATGTAGCATAAAAATATTACGGAATAATCAAAATTTTCATAGTATTAGTTATTAATACGCGTTTTAATTTGTTGAATATATGATCAAAGAGTAACTTTCAAATACTAAAATTTCATTTTCAAAATCAACTCATGAGATGGGGGAGTAATATCGCCACTAGTACATACCAGACACGCAAGACTAAACAAGTTAAGGGTAACCATTTTAACTTATTACGTTTGGACATAAGATTTGTTAAAAATTGTGGATAAACTAGTATGGAGTATATTCTAACTTGGTACTCATTTAATAAAAAAAATAATACGGAGTAATTGTTAATGCATATAATTATAATAAGGAATAACTTTATTTTTTTTTGAGAGAATAACTTAAGTACTCATATTAGTTAGTGGGGAAATTTCAGTTACACGGGTGTATGTTGTGACAAGTTACTAATTAATTGCATGTTTAAAGAGTAAGTTATGTGAATTTAATTGGATATGATATATTAGGGGTTTAAAAACAGAAAAAATAAAGAGGTTAGTAATATTGAACTTAACGCTTAAATAAATTGTAATCATGAATTGTTAAAGTAGGCACTGCGCATGAGCAGCCAGTGTAATAAATTTACTGCTGTAGATAAAATCTAATCATCATCCTTATTTTATCCTTCCTTGTACACGATGCCTATCTTACTTTTTTCTAGGTTTTTGTTGGCGGCTCTTTAATTTTTATCATGTTTTCTTTTGGAATTCTTTGAATCTTTTCATTTTTCTAATTAGGAAAGGAAAATGTAATACATAACCCTAGCTTAAAACTACACATAAAAAGTTAAAAATAAAAAAAAAAAATAGTAGAAATAAAATTATGAGTATAACATTAGATACGAGTATTTATAAATTAATACGAGTACTATATTTAAAAAGATATAACATGCTTATTTTTAACATTAAGGGCTACATAAAACATCACCTATAAAGTAATCCTTTAAAAAAATGTACTATATATATTATAAGGTAAAAAGGATACTCCGTAGTGAATTAGTGATATTACTATATTAGTGATATTAGATAGTACTCAGTATATACTAACCTTTAGAGTTATAAACATAGCCTTGTATCAAGAAAAAAAAAAACACCAAGGGTTGCATATAAGAATCTTAAAATAAGAAAATACTATAATAAAAATAGATAAACATTAATTACATTAATCTACGTTTATACTCCTATTTTAAGAAATGTATTTAATATAATGATTATAGAAATGACAACATACTCCACCCTTCCCCAAATGTATGTCACATTTGCCATTTTAAATGAACCATAGGGTATGTTATGTGGAGCTTAATTTCAATTCAGTTTAGCTCCAGACCAGTTAGTTCAGTTCAATTTCTATTTTCCTTCTCTCATAAACAATTCATTTTAGCTCTGTTCAGTTCAGTTCAACTCTAATCACTTCAGTTCAGTTCAATTCAGTTGTTTTCAGTAAATTGGAACATGCCTTAAATAATCTACCCATTTCTTATTTGTACTACTTCCTCCGTCTCATAATACAACTAGTGAAAATATAAAAACGTGGATATTAGCTTCAATTTTGGAATTTTTTGACTTTTTTTCACCCGGAAATAAAAACTACGGAAATGTTTACCATGGTCCCTAATACCTTCCGCGAGTCCAATTGGCCGGGTGAAACCATCCAATTTGCCTATAAACAACCAATTTCCTGGTTTACAACTTGTAGCGATTGCATTAACTCAAGCCTACCACAAACATTTAAGACAACATATAATGATCATATATGGTTCCAAACGAAATTATATGACCCCGAGATGTATCCCTAAAATCTCAATGTTTTTCGTCACCAGCATCGAAACATTCGAAATATCTCAAAAATCATGGATATTAGCCTTCAATTTTAGACTTTTTTGACTTTTTTTTCACCTGGATATAAAATTTGCCGAAATGTTTACCATGATCCCTAATACCCTCCGGGAATCCAATTGGGTGGGTGGAACCATCCAATTTGCCTTTAAACGGCCAATTTACAACTTGCACCGATTTCATTAACTCAAGCTTACCAGGAACATTTATGACAACAAATAATCATCATATATAGTTCCAAACGATATTATATGACCCCGAGATGTATCCCCTACAATCTCAAGGCTTTTCGATACCGGACCTCGAAACCTCCAAAATTTCTCCAAAAGCATGGATATTAGCCTTTAATTTTGGAATTTTTAGATTTTTTTCGCTCAAAAATAATAATTTCTGAAATTTTTACCATGGTCCCTAATACTCTTCGGCCCTTCGGAAGTCCAATTGGGTGGGAGGAACCATCCAATTTACCTTTAAACGACCTATTTGTCGGTTTATAACTTGTAAAGATATGATTTCATTAACTCAAGTCTACCACGAACATGTATGACAATAAATAATGATCATATATGGTTCCAAACGTCATTATATGACCCTGAGATGTATCCCCAAGAATTTCATGACTTTTCGACAACGGGCCCCGAATCCTCCAAAATTTCTCAAAAGCGTTGATATTAGCATTTAATTTTGAAAATTTTGACTTTTTTTGCCCGAAAATAAAAATTTCCGAAATGTTTACCACGGTCCCTAATACCGCCCGGGAGTCCCATTGGGTGGGTGGAACCATCCAATTTGCCTTTAAACGACCAATTTACCGGTTTACAACTTGCACCGATTTTATTAACTCAAGCCTACCATGAACATTTATGACCACAAATAATGATCATATATGGTTCCAAACGGCATTTTATGACCACAAGATGTATCCCCTAAAATTTCAAGACTTTTCGACACTGGTCCCCGAAACCTCCAAAATTTCTCAAAAAACGTGGATATTAGTCTTCAATTTTGGAATTTTTTGACTTTTTTTCGCCCATAAATAAAAATTGCCGAGATGTTTACCACGGTCCCTAATACCGTCTGTTAGTCTCATTGGGTGGGTGGAACCATCCAATTTGCCTTTAAATGACCAATTTATCGGTCTACAACTTGCACCGATTTCATTAACTCAAGCATGCCACGAACATATATGACAACAAATAATAATCGTATATGGTTCCAAACGGAATTATATGACCCCTAGATGTATCCCCTAGAATTTCAAGACTTTTCGACACCGGGCCCCCGAAACCTTCAAAATTTCTCAAAAAGTGTGGATATTAGTCTTCAGTTTTGGAATATTTTGACTTTTTTCGCCCGGAAATAAAAATCGCCGAAATGTTTCCCGTGATCCCTAATACGGTAATACCCCCCGGGAGTCCAACTTGGTTGGTGGAACCATCCAATTTACTTTTAAACGGCCAATTTACCGGTTTACAACTTGCAAGGATTTCATCAATTCAAGCCTACTACGAACATTTATGACAACATATAATGTTCATATATGGTTCCAAACGACATTATATGACCCCGAGATGTATCCTCTAAAATATCAAGACTTTTCTACACCGAGCGCCTTCAATTTTTAAATTTTTTGACTTTTTTCGCCTAGTAATAAAAATTGCCGAAATGTTTACCATGGTCCTTAATACTCTCCGGGAGTCCAATTGGGTGTGTGGAACCATCCAATTTGCTTTTAAACGACCAATTTACCGGTTTACAACTTGCACCGATTCACTGGTTTACAAAGACCAATTTAATTAATTTGCACCGAACCTGACTTGAACCGAAATTGACCCAAACCCGTTTTAACCCGTTAAAACCCGAATTTAACCCGACTTGTTACTAACCTGATCTGAATTCAACCCAACCCGTTCCTAACCCAACCCGAATTTAACACTACCTGTTACAAACTCGACCCAAAATCAACCCGACTTATTATTGACCAGACCCAAATTCAACCCGACTTGTTATTGACCCGACCCGAATTTTACCAGACCTATTACTTACCCGACCCAAAAATTCAACCCGATTTGTTACTAACCCGACTCGAAATTAACACGACTTATTATTGACCCGACTCGAACCCGCAAATTATTGACTTAAACCGAACCCGACTCG